AAGAAAAATAAAACAGTTAACTTAGCTACCAATCAAACCTACTAAGACAGAAGAACAACTTACCTTACTTTAGAGCAATGCTAGGGGACTGGGGATTTAGCTCAGTGGTTCCAGTGCCTGCCTTGTAAGCGCAAGTTCTCAAATTCGATTCCCGGTACCAAACCAACCAAACAAACAAAAAAAAAAACACAAAGAAAAATGCTAGGGGTTTTCCTCCCAATGGTGAGGGGCAAAAGCATTTTGTAGAATAGTCACTAAAGTAACTTACAGTTACTTTTGCTTCATTATCATAGTAAAATACATACCTTTTGGTGAAGATGGTGGAGGTACGCCTGGTATAATGAAGTACAACTGAAATTCCATTTCTACTTGCAATGACACCAAAAGACTAGATCCCTGACTACCCTAGGAACACTATAAAACTACCCTTTCTTGTCCTTTTGTTTGAATCAGCCTGGGATTTCTGTCCCCTATGAATTTTGTCCCTTGTACTTGAGCATAAGAATATAAAAAGCCTTGTTCCTATATTATTGTGCCTCTGTCTAATTCTTCTGATGGAAAGTATAAGAACCCACAAAATCAATGACACATGGGCATTTTCCCAGAGTTGTGTTCAACAACCTTGAAACTGCATCTCCTCCTAGTCAAAGAGCAGGTTTACTCGCCATGCACAATAAAAGTAGTAGTTCTATGAGCTCAGTGTTTCTCAGCTATGTCATAAACCCACTGCATCCATCTCAGCATCTAACTAGGCTCACCTACACCCTGCTGTGGGACATGAAGTACATGGAAAACTGATGGCAGTCACGCATGTGCTGATTGCTGTGCTGTGGATATAAAGTCTTCTGCCAGCATCTGTGAAATAGTAGCAAGCTAACTTGTTATTTACAATTAGGGCAAAAGCCCAGATGCTTCGCAAGGCCTGACAGTTTGGGCCACAAGGAAGAAATGATGTTAGAGATATGGCTTTCTGGAAAAGAAAAGACAAGGGCCCTCAGTTTGGTTAAAGGATATGAGAAAACTCCCTAAGATTAGGTAATAAATGCTATCAGGTAGATGGTGGTGAGGGTGGGAGGGTGCAGCAGGGTTCCTCATTGTCCTATGTATTAAGTGAAGTTCAGCAACAAAAGACAGGATTGAAACCAGTTGCTCAAATGGTGCTTTGGTCATATAGCATGTTCTCTGGGGTGGGAGAAGGGAAGAATGTTATCACAACAACAGGGCAAAAAGCCCCATATTTTAGTCAAAGGCAATGCGATGTGACTGTAGCTGCTGAATCAATGAGTCCCTAAAGTGGAAATACATGGTGTCAGCAATGAATATAAAGGATTTTGGGTAAACTGAAAGCATTAGAAATTTATTTGTTGAGCCCAGTGGCAGGAGGTCATTTGAAATTGAAAATAAATACAAAGCCTGGTTTACTGACTACAAGATGCTTTTCCTTCTTGCCCTTGAATCCTTCCCCAACTTCAGGTTATTTAGGGAAGAAATGTGGGTGCCTTAGGGAACTTTGGAGAAGGACTCAAACTTTTATGGTTCTATTGGATGCAGGTGTCAAAGTCTGCTTGGTCCCATGGAGAGAGGATGTCCTAAGCACCAAAGTGACCCAGGTTACCAAGGACTGCAGAGCAGTGTTGTGGCACTAGTGAAGGCTAGTAGCAATGCTGTCCAGAGGGCAGGGGCACAAGAAGAGGAAGCACTGTCATTCTGGGTTAAGAAATCAAAGGACAAAAAGTCTTCCCTGACCTTTTGTATTCTTCCTCCAGCAGGGAGACTGCATAATCCCCTGAAACAATAATATAATCGCTAAAGAAACTGTGTTAAACTCTGGTTTGTGTTCTGACCTGGAACAACAACAACAACAAAAAGGCATCTGCATCAAATGATAGTGTTTGAGTAAAGTTCTCAGCGAGGAAGGGAAACTAGAGGAAACTTGGACCAATTCAGGATATTCAGGTATGTCCACACACTCCTCATCCCACCTTCTGCATGCATATAAATGCATAATGGAATGATGTGTTACACGCTTGTATTGTAAAACTCAAAGTGACTAGAGGATCTTTCCCATTCATGAATTCCTTGACCCCCTCCCAGGGGTCTTATGGAAACATTATAAAGTCCCAGAGAGAAAGGGAAAACCACAGCTGACCTTCAGGGAAGCTATTTGCTCAATACAGTAACACCACCTGCTGGACATGAGCACCAAATTCTCCCTGTATGTTTGTTAGGGCTGTCAAAACAAGGGACCACAAACTGGCCCATTTAAGCAAAGAACTTTATTGTCTCTGAGCTGGAGACTAGAAATCCAAAATTAAGGTTGGTTCCTTGCAAAGTTATGAGGGAAATCTGTTCCAGGCCTCTTTTCTTGGCTTGTAAATGACTACCTCCACATTCTGAGGGCATTCTCTCCATCTCCATGTCTCTCTGTCCAAATTTCCTCTCAGGATGCCACCATTCATATCCCGTTAGGGTCCACCCTAATGACTCGTTTAATTTGATTACCTTTGTAAAGGCCCTATCTCCAAATAAGGTTACTTCTGAGATACCAGGGCTTAGGATTTCAACATATGAATTTTGAGGGGCTAGAATTCAATCCACAACACATCCTTTTCAAAAAAGGGAAGGAGTTATTGACATGCTGCTGAGCTCTTGCTACAGATGAAGACTTGCCCTATGGAGGCTTTGTGATTCCCAGGCCTCACATCCCTATTGTGTGGTGCAACAACTAGGATATGCCAACTACAATGGAAGGGCCAATTTCCTGTTCAAATAAAAATAATGTACTTGAGAATAGGCTGGCTGGCCATTCCTGAATATCATTTTAGTTTCTACATAAAGGAGTAGTAACCAACGCTGTGGGGAAAACTACCACCCCCACCCCCCCGCAATGAGACAAGGCTACTGGCTCAGTAGGACTCAGATTCACAGATATTCCCCTAAATTCCTGGGCTTGGTTTACCTTTGGTTCAGCTAAGATGAAAACTGATGGCCATTGCAGCTATTCAACCTCAGTGCCAGCTATGTAAAACCTGGTTACTGGAATCAGTGGACAAAACTCAAAACAGTTCTCAGGCCTCTGGTCAATCAGGTTATTACCATGAACCCTGAATGTCTCTGCATGTTTTTGCTGGGTAGGTCAAGAAAGCCAGACCCAATTGCTCTTTACTTGGTCCCTTCTTTACTTGTGCTTCAGTGAACAAGCTGAAGGAATGAGGTAACGCAGATCCTTCTCTCCTTCCCCTCCCTCCTCCCTTGCCTATAGCTCACTATAAAAGTAATAGATTTTTGAAGTTGTGCTCCCCCAATGTGACACAAATCCATTTAGTGCACAGCACCCATCCATTTAAGTCCATGCCCATCTTTGCCACCTCTATAGGTCTTGGGGAGCATGGAGAATTGACACTAGCATCACGCTGCTTGTTCTGAGTAATAATGTCCTGTGTCTGGTATATAGGTACCTCTGGTCCTCTGTAACAGACTAACTTGTCAGCTTGCAAGCCGGGTGAAATCTCCAATTCTTCACAGATCCTAACCCCATGGGGGCTATAATTTCTAAAAGTCTTTGACAAGGATTCTCTAAGTATCTGACATACATGGCTGATTCCTATACCTAATATTTGGTCTCCCCTAAGTCACTTTACTCTGTTACAGTAATTCAGTTGCCCATTTCTTCAATTGTTCCACTATCCCAAAGAAATCTTTATATTGCATAAGACATTCTCATCAGTCTTTAATAGCAGTAACAACAGCAACATCTAATATGGAGTAAAAAGCATTTTTTGTAAAGACTGAAATCATTATTCTATATAATATGTATCAGCATTACTCCTTAAAATATCTCTCTGAAGAGTATGCTATTACCTCTAGTGTTCAGATCAGGAGACTGAAGTATAGATGATACAGTTAGTCAGGAGTGGAATTGGGATTCACATCCAGGGATTCTGGCTTTAGGCCTCATTTTTAAATGTGAGCTATACTGCCTGATGGTAGGACCTTCTACTCCCAGGAATACAATGGACCACAGAAACACAGACATCTTTATGTGAAATCAGGAAAACAATTTGGGTCAAATTTTTAACACTTAATTTTGACTTGCAATATTTTAGAATACTGTTTTGATAACTCGTATTAGGCATGTTGACAATCTACTGTGTTTTGATCTTTTATATCCATCCATTGTATAACCCGATGTTAAGTTTTCACGATCTATATTAGTTTCCTATTGCTGATGTACAAATTATAGAGAATATAGTGACTTAAAATAACACAAATATACTATCTTGTAGTTCTCAGTTTAGATGTCTAAAATGGACTGGCAGGACTGTGTCCCTCTGGAGGCTACAGAAGACAATCTGATCCCTTGCTTTTTCCAGCTTCTGAAGGCTGCTTGCATTCCTATGCTCATATCCTGACTGACTCTATCTTCAAAGCCAGAAGTGCAACATCTTCAAGTCAATCAATCAATCTCTCTCTCTCTCTCTCTCTCTCTCTGTCTCTCTCTCTCCCTCCCTCTTCCTCCCCACTCCCTCTTCCTCCTCTCCCTCTCCCTCATTTTCTCTTTACCATATAGAGACCGCTTATAATTGTAATGGGTTCATCTGGATAATCCAGGATAACCTCCCCATCTCAAACTCCTTAAATGATCACATTGTAGTCTCCTTTCCCATGTAAGGTAACATACTCTTAACATAGTCACAGGTCCTAGGAATTAAGACAAGGACCTATATCTTGAGGGACATAATTCTGTCCATAGTATACTCTAAACCATTATTTCTTTAAGTATGGAAATTTTGACACAAGTATATGGACTGGATACTTAAACAAGGCCATTCACCAGATAATTAGCAATTGATTTCATCTCATCTTTGAGGGTGGAGCCCCAAAAGCATTTGGGTAGGGAGAGTAGGCATAAGGGGTATGAAAAAACATGCTGCTAAAAAACATGTGCTAGAACTTTAACCAGGGCAACAACATAATAGTTTAATTATTTAAAAACATACCTGGAGTCGAGCATTTATAAGCATGAACTCCTGTTGATTTTTCATGTTTTCATTCATAGATTTTGAAAACATAAACCCCATCTTGACCTAAAATGTAAAAAAGCAATATTTAAAACAATATATTGTGTACATCCTTGAAAAAAAAAATGTCATGTAGAAACATAGTGTAGATTCTAACTGGCTGTCTTACCTCAGGCATACTTAACCAGACTGGCTATCATTTACTCAGCTAAGACCAGCTTATTGAACTGGATCATCTCCCTGCCTATAAGTGTATGAATCCATGTTTCATGAATTTTCTTCCTACTATAAATCTGGAGAACAGCATGGATACCATCTATCCTTTTGTTCTGTACAGGTGGACAATAAAACTTGCTGTATGAGGAGGGGTGATTCGGAAGATGCCTTGTGCATCTTGTGAACAGATTTCTCCGTGCTCCTTGAATTTGTGTTTTAGAAGATTTATGTGTCTCCAGGTCAGTAGATCTGTCTTCTTTCCACAGTCATATTGTGACCCCATCCCTTTTCTGTATGCCACTTATTTTTGTCCACTCCTTGCTGACATTCCTAAGCCATCCTCTTTCAGCTTCACCTGCTGAAATTCTCAAAATGGAAAAGACATACGGATACTTAAACGTCCTTGGAAATGTACTTTTACAAATGACTGTATTGTATACTTGGTTCTCTACTTACAATGGAGGTAACATTCTAATAAACTTACCCTAAACTGGAAATAGTGTTAAGTTTATACACTTAACTTACTGAACATCATAGCTTAGCTTACCTTCAACATAATCAGAACATTTAGCCTACATTTGGATATACTCATCTCACACAAATCCCCTTTCAAAATAAAATGAATATCTCATGTAATTTATTGAATACTGTTCTGAAAGTGAAAAATGGAACTTCTGTTCTGTATTTCTAGCCCAGGAAAAGATCAAAATTCAAACTATGGTTTCTATTGAATACATATTGCATTTGCACCATCATAAAGGCAGAAAAGTCATAAGCTGAACCATTCTGAAAGTTATGGATCCTCTATATTGTCTATCTTATCATCTTACCCAGGAAGTACTTAAGTGGACTATCAACTCTAGGTGGGCCAAAACTTCAAGTTTTATTCTACCCAATTGGGTCAGTACAGGAAATATTTATTTCTCAATTTTACTTTCATAAGACTGCAAAACATAGGGAAAAGTCACAACTTCTCTCCACCTCCCTCAACAATGTTACTGATATCTTTCACTTTAGTAGGCTGTTGAATAGGGTTGTGGAATGTCACATTAGAGTGGCTAGTCTTTATGCCTTATAGTCAAAACAAGTGATCTGTGGGAAGCCCAGAGAGCTCCTTTTACCTATATCCTTTCCATCAGGAAATCCTGGGTTCTGGCTAATCAGAGAAATGGGAGCTGTAGGTGGCCTCCCTGTATTCTGGTCAAGGACAAATCCTGGAATTACAGGGGCCTCTGCATCAGAGTCAGCTTCAAAGCTGGTCACAGGGGGCCAGACTGCTTACTGGGGAGAAGAGGTAGAGCCCTGAATAGACCTAGATGGTCATGAGGTTTCCTTCCCCCTCTGCCTCTGTCCCATGTGACTACTCTGTGACCAGAGGCAATGTGTCCTACCACTTAAGGTGGGAAGATCTAGCAGTTCCCTCCTTTCTCCAAGTTTAGACAGCCCTATGTGAATTCTCTCCCAACAGCAGACCAGAACTTGCCTGAAGGGAGGAGCAATATATTATCCATCTTGACAATCTCCATAGTGTCTACTTTTCAAAAATATTTGCACAGAACAGAAGTGATACAGCACAAGAAACACTTTAACTTGCCATTCCTTGTTTGTCTTTTACATATAAGAGTGTATGATTGAATTCTTTGTATCTGCTGCAAATGTTTATAAAGGGGAAAAAAACTGTCCTCTTGTCTCCAAGAACACAACCTATGTATCAAAGATCTGTATCCCTTAGAGGCTCCTGTTTGTCAAGTGGTGAGACCACCCCTCAAGGATAGTCCTCATGTCAATTATCTACAGAAGAGAAACACTGGAAAGTTAAAATCTAGACTTACCTTTTTCTGGGCCTTGCTCTCTTGAACTGTAGTTTGGATGTGTTAGGGGACACTCCCTGGTGTAAGGGTTAAAGGTGAAAGTGAAGCAGGAAAAACTTCCCTGTGGAAGACCTCACCTGAAAATGAGTATACCACACCTTGTAAACTTTACCCTTGGTGGAGTTCAGTATTTTCAACTTCTTCTCCTTTCCTAACCTTAACAAAGCCATTTTCCAAAACCTGGGATTATTCTTTAGGGTGTTCAGAACTCTCAACTTTCTTCCATGCACAAAATATTTATCAGAAAACAAGCAAGAGTGACTTTTCAGTAGGAGTAACTGATTTCACTCATTTGTGCAAGGCAAATCTGTCAAAAATTCAACACATCATATATATATGTATATACATATATATATATATATAGCACAGATAACAAATGTGTTGCTATCTATACAATTTAAGAAATCAGTGTGTCTCAGAGGGCTGAGAATGCTGATTTATGTGTGTTCTACCTTCATTTTTCCTTTGTTTGCTTGTAAGACCTTGGAAGAGGTCTGGAATGATGCAGCTCTGCCTCAGCTTTGCTACAGATTACTATGGGAAGGTGTATTTCTCAGAAGAGTTGGTCCTACAATTTCCAGACACTCCTGGGAACCTGGGTGTGTGTGGGGGGCGGGGGGTGGCTTGATTGGTTTCATGACTTTCGTCATCCAAACTCCTGCAGTGACTTATTTCCCCGATCAAATAACACGTTACTTGAATTTATGTTTGATTGCCTAATCACAATCATGTCCAATAATCCTTTGTGGCTATTTCCTCCTGCACAGGCTTCTGGGAGATTTTCCATAATTATCCCCACACCGTCACTGTGGACCCAGTTACTGTAATTTGGGTGTTCCCCCTAGTGGGGTGCTGATTTTTGATGGGTCGACTTTTCCCAACTGCGTGATAGCAGTGATAACTATACGGAGACCACGAGTCCCTGTTGCCAGAACTGGCTCTTTGGAAACGAGTCTGACAACGCCTACCAGCACCAGGGGCCATAGGACCGGGCCTCCAGAGCCCGGCTCAAGGTCTCGCGCCGGCGTCAGCGGTGGACACCCTCAGTCCCCACCCGCCAGGCCACGGGCGCTTACTCACCCAGCAGTGCGACAAGGACTCCAGAATTTAGCGATCGCTGCCGAGGCCTCCAAACCCCGGGCACCCTGGGATTACCACAAAGACCCGGCCTTTCCCGCAGAGCCTCCGGATTGGCTGGCACGACAGTTGTTACAATTGTCAGCCAATCAGCGCGGCTGTCAGCTGCCTTAAAGACCCTGACTCTCCAATAGAGGCCTCGTGTCCTCCGCGTCCAGGCGCCCTATGGTAGGAGGGGCAGATCAAAGCAGCAAATTCAAAACTGCAAGGACTCAGGGAGGCGAATTTGAGGTGCGGCAGAATGGAAATAACTAAACACTTTTGCCTTCTCTGCCATAAAACTGCCCCCAGTAAAGTGGCAAAAAGGTAAGACAGGAAACAAAGAACAGAGTTGACCAGAATTATTAATTCTCTTTTGAGTAGACCCTGGACACTGAGGAATGCCCATTTCTTTTCACTCCTGCCAGCAATTTCTATCTTGAGTAAACTGAGAGTCCTTCCCAACCTCACTGAGAGAATACTTGAGGAACTATTGCATTCTGTCCTTTATCACCAAATGGCTTGGGAGAATGGCATGAACTTCACCATTCTCTGGCCTTGAGGAGATCCATAGGAGAGGTTCCTACCTCCATGTGGCTGACCACCACCATGTCAGTGGAAAATATTTCTAACTTCTTTCAAGCTCAGCATGTGAATGAGCACTGCACTAACTACCTAGGCTTGTCTTGCCCTCAGCCACAGTCCTCAGTATCCTGGACCTTACATCCCATATTCCAAACAATTTTTGTTGAATGGCTGAATGGAGAAATTGCAACCGCATCCGCATTTCCAACTGTGGGAGCAGGTGTGTTTCCAGAACCAAAGCTATATGGAGCTGGACTGTTTTAAGGCAGATCAAGGACTGGTCCATGAAGTACGGAGTAGAGTATGAAGTCATGGTGTAGCGTTTGAGTACATCAACTATCATAAACACTTAGATTCAATTTCCAGCTCTATTAGTATCACCCTGTCACTTTATCTCCTCTACAAAAGGACAAAAGCCATTTAATTTTTTGGGCTGTGGGGTCTAAGTGAGATAATATATTTAGACACTTAGCCCAGTGTCTGGCATATAGTATTTGATTAACAGTACTAATCAAAACAATGGGAGCTGCTACTAACTCTAGGCTGTAGAGACAAGGAAGAAGAAGCAGTTACTAAACTGTAGCTGTGGTTGTAGGAGCCAGTATGCACAAAGAGCCATGTTGTTCAGTAGAGGAAAATGGTCAATGCCAGCATTTGGCAGAGCTGGGTGAGATTCTATATGTATAGTCACTGCCAGGACTTCAGCCCAAAGCAAAGACAGAGTGAAGCAGAAATATCCACCTCTCTTTCCTCCCATACTCTGATATACTGCTGGGGTCTTCCATTGGCTGGAGTCAGCTGGAAGCAGAAGAAAAGGGACCAAAGTAGATGCAGTGGTCAGTCTCATAGGCACAATGTCTTGAGAGAATAATAGAACGTATTCAGTACATAATTTCTATGACTTTGAGTTTATCATGTGTGGAAGTCTTAGTTCAAAAGGAAGAAATGGTTCCTCTGGCAGGCCCAGCATGGTTCTACTGAACTGGAAGCTAAAATTGCCATTCAATCATTTTGGTTCTAATAGTGATGAAATTGAGATGATTCTCCCCAATTACCAAAAGTATACTGGGTTGCATCCATACAGTGAGGGCAAGGAGAACTATGTGTGATACCCAGAGATTCACTGGGTACCTATTAATAATGATCATTAGGTAACTCAGTAAAATCTAGACTACTTAAATTTCAGATCCCAAATTAAATTAAATTAGTGCTGCATCATATCTTAGTTACTTTTCTCATTGCTGAGACACAGTACTTGGCACCCACAATTTAAAGGAGAAATGATTTATTTGGCTCATAGTTTGTAGAGGTTTCAGTCAATAGTCGGCTTGCTCCAAGTCAGCGTGGCATGGCAGAGGGCATTGCAGAGGAAAAGCACTCCATGACAAAGCAAGCAGGAAGCAGAAAGCAACATCAGAAAGCCTCCATTTCCCTTTTGTCCCATCCAGGCTACAAGCCTTTTGGTTGGTGCCACCGACACCCAGCATGGACTTCCATTATCCACATCCATATCTGTGCTAAACCAATTTAGTTGTCATACACCCTTAATCCCAGTATCACATACTATAATACAGAATCACACACCCATCAGGAGGCAAAAAAGGGAAGAAAAAAAATAATCAATTCACATTTTATATGCAGAACTACCATAGTTCTTGCTTCCATAGTTTCTTGCAGAGTTAAAATTTATAATCATAGTTTCCTATTAATTCACTCATGTTTTTCTTGCCCTCTACCAGAACCTTGGTAGATAAAGATTTTTTTTTTACTTGGAGTGGTGAGGTGTTATGATTTATATCTAGATGGGCCCTCAAAGTCTCATGTGCTCACAGGTGATGGGTGTGTGTAGTCCATGGCATTGATTTCTGCTCTGATCTTTATAATTTCCTCCCTTCTATGAGCTTTGGGTTTGACCTGCTCTTCTTTTTCTAGAAGCTTGAGGTTCAGCATCAGGTTGTTTATTTGAGCTTGCTCTGTTTTCCTAATATGACTATTCACTGTTATGAATTTCCCTTATATGTCTGCTTTAATTGTGTCCCATAGATTCCAATATGTTGTATTGACATCGTCATTTAATTGTAGAAACTGTCTGATTTCTTTAATTTCCTGTGTGACCCATTGGTTATTCAGAAGTGTGTTGTTCAATTTTCATGTGTTTATGCAATTCTTGAGGGGGGTTTTTTGCTATTGATCTCCAGTGTAATTGCACTATGGTCTGACAATGCACAGGGGATAACTTCAATTCTTTTGCACTTACTTAAGCATGTCTTTGAGCAATTATGTGGTCTATTTTGGAGAACAAACCCTGTGCAACCGAAAAGAATGTGTGTTCTCATTTTGTGCGGTGGAACACTCTGTAAACATCTGTTAAGTTCATTTGTTCAAGAGCTTGATTGAGTTCTAGTATTTTGTTGTTTATTTTCTGTCTAGTTGATGTATTCGTGACAGTGTGGTATTAAGGTCCCCCACTACTATTGTCTTAGTTCTTATTTGATTTTTCATGTCCATTAGTATTTGTTTTATATAGTTGGGTGCACTAGTATTTGGTGCATATATATTTATGATTGCCATCTCTTCCACTTGGATTGTTCCCTTTACAAGAATGTAGTGTCCTTCTTTGTCTCTCTTAATCAGTATTGGTTTGAAATTCACTTGATCTGCAAAGAGGATAGGTACTCTTGCCTCTTTTCAGGTTCCTGTCACATGGAGTATTGTTTTCCACACTTTAACTTTCAGCCTATGAGTTTGTTTTTGAATAAAGTATGTCTTGTATGTAGCATATTGTTGAATCTTGCTTCTTAACCCATTCTGCCATTCTATTTCTTTTGATTGGTGAATTTAGACCATTAACATTGATGATTATAACTGGTATGTATTGACTGATTATCCTTGTCATGACTTTTTCTTTTTGTTGGATTCTCCCCCTTTGCATTTAATTTCTTCTCATGCCTGATGGATTCATTCTTCTGGGATTCCTGGGGTTGTGACCCTCATTGTCTTTTCCTGGGATATTGTTTAAAATTTTTTGCAGAGGAAGTGAGCCACTCCCAGTGCCCAGGAAGAGGCTCCCAGGCCACCATAGCACTGCTCCCAGTGCAGAGGAGGTAAGCCACACACACACACACACACACACACACACACACACATACATTGAAATGAGAAGACACATAAACAAGTTTCAAAACCAGACTTCCAGATCATCTACAGCAACCCCAAAGGGAAACGAGATGGAACACTCTGATACTCATCCACCTGGATTCCCTGAATGGGCAACAAAAGAGGATCTGGAAAAACTGAAATCAGAAATAATTTCTCAGATAACAGCAGAGATTGTGCCCATAGTGCAAGACATGATTAATAA